CGTAAACAGGTCTCTCCGAGGCATGTCGCATATATTGTTCGCCTACATTTCACGCCTACTAACGGGTTTTAAGTAACCATATTAGTTTAACAAACTGTTAAAACATTAAGGTGAGGTTCAGTTGGTTAGTCCAGGGTCTCGGTCTTTGTGCATTTTACTTCCCGGTCTAAAACACCACATTGACGTCAATAGGGAGTCTTCCACGGCGTCAGTCATTTCCAGGCATTTACAAGTGTTGCGAAAGTTGTCGCAACATGGCTGGTCGCCAAATAGCTGCGCGTAGCGCAATTAAATTCAGTTTATATGTAATTCCGAGATGGGAGGTGTGCGAGGTGATTCGTATATGAAACAATTCATTCGTTAGGTAGCCAAACGGTAAGTTAGTTACGAACACGAAATTGGGTCCGGAATTGAACATAAATAACGAAAGGATTACAAACCATAGATGCAGGTGTTTTTTTCCATTTTCGGCTCAAAACAACGTAAAAGTAAACTTTTTCCCTTGACGTTCATATGTAAAAAAAGATGACTAAAATGGACATTTTTGTGCGAAATATCTGAGTAAAACACTTTTTTTAGAGGAGCAAATTATTTCTTATGTTTTACTTGATCACACATATCCCTCACGAGTCCTCGTTATGAACACCCATTCCTATAGTTGACGAGGTTTTATGCTTGGATGAGTCTGAAAATAGTTCCCAGATCACCACCTGCAAAAAAGAGGACGTTCGAGAGGTCAATCACTAGGACGAATCCTTCTAAAACTGGCTTACTTTGGTAGCTTGGACGGGTAGAAACTCGACTGAGAACACCGAAAAACACAAAATATTCCTCGGCGGTTTAAGCCCACGTTGAGAGTCCACTGCATGATACATTTTCAGGAAGCATGCAATCGTTATATAGAAGAAAAGTGGTTCCAAATATATTTCCGTTTATTGGTCACCGATTGTCCTCCCGTCAGGTGACCTCACACAATATTTTATTCTGCGGCGTCCCATAACCTTCGTCGAATTTAATCACATGTCAAACAGAAATGTGTCCACTTCTCGACACTAATTTACAAAAAAGCAATTACACGTCATACTGCCTATTCTGTTTTATTTATTTAACCTAATGCTTAATTTACAAAAAGCAATTTCGACGTCATACCGCCTACACCGTTTTATTCATTTACAGTGCGAACTGAAGTTCATGCAAAGGCCAAAATTTGGGAAAGATTGATAATCGCTGGCAAACGGGCACTAACGCATGTACGGAAACTTTGAAATACTAGTGCACAACCTTAGGCAAATTTGTAATTTAAAAGAAATATAAGAAGTGCTAATTGTTTGTTAAGGAAAATACTAAAGTTCCGCAATGTTGAAAAATAGCTATAAATTAGACCAATAAATTTAAATATAATCGCCATTTGAAGTAATAACCGTACCAATTCCGTTATATCACAAGAACTGTTCTTTTGTCAAATTTCTTTAAAATTATTGCCAGTATTGGATTACAATAAGTTTCAGGTCGCCTTTTAACTTCCGGCAAACTTTCGGCAATTTTAATGTTTTCAGGTTTTTTTTCGTAAATGTAGATTCAGTTCGATGTTTGTATCGAAAACTGTAAAATGAACACCGAACGCCTCGAGTTTTTCACAATTTGGTCATCTCAAATTAAGCAAATTTGCCAAACCTAATAATTTAGTCAGCCTATCAGTCATTCTGGTGGATTCTAGATGATTGCTTAGGAAATCCCGCTTGGGCAGT